TCCAAGGCCCGCTCCGAGCCCCGCCCGCCCGCAGACGTGGACGAGTGCGCCTCCAGCCCGTGCCTGAACGGGGGCTCGTGCGTCGACCTCGTGGGGAACTTCAGCTGCCTGTGCGCAGAGCCCTTCGAGGGACCGCGCTGCGAGGCAGGTAATGGCCCCGTGCCTCCCACGGGCGACCGCGCTTTCGGGGTCACCGCCTCTTTCCCTCACTGTCCGGCTCAGCCCCACCCCGGTCTCCTGCACTGGCCTGTCCCCTGAGTCTCCCACGGCAGGGAAACTAGTCCTGACTGCGCCACCCACGAGCAAGTCGGTTGTCTGGAGCCTGGTCTCCCTGTCGCCTGCGGGGAGGGATGACACCCTCGGGCCCCTCTTCCCGCTCGGGGGGGAGAGCACGGACTGTCTAACACGCTCCCTTCCTACCCCAGACCCCTGGCCAGGCAAGGGAACCACTGACGGGGTCGGACAGAACACGGACCTTTATGTACTACTGGCATGAGATCTGCTAGTTTCTATTCTATTCCATATTGTTTTAAATGCTGGTTTTGACTCAGATCAATTTAAAGACCAACTAGACATTACAACCCACAGAATAAACCCTGGGCTTTCGTGCTGAGGCATCACCCAGCCTCCAGCGGCCTCAGCCCGTGCCCAGGACAGCTGGGCATGCGGCCGGGCAGCTTCTCCCTGGGAGATGCTCGGGACAAACTGGTCCAACTTACTTTGAGTCTAAACACTGAAGGAGGAGCCCTGGCCGGTTTGACTCAGTGGTTAGAGTGTCAGCCCACAGACTGAAGGGTCCCGGGTTCGATTCCAGCCACGGGCACATACGTTGGTTGCAGGCTCAATCCCTGGTTGGAGTGTGTGCAGGAGGCAAGCAGCTGGTGCGCCTCTCTCACATCGAAGTTTCTCTCTCTCCCTTCCACTCTCTCTGAAAAGCAGTGGGAAAAATATCCTCAGTGAGGATTGAATAAAAACTTAAGGAGAAAATTACATTTACCCACCAGTTAGAGGCAGATGGACACTGTGTCCTCAGAAGAGGGTGAGGCTGAGCCGTGCAGAGGGGAGGAGGGAGGCACTCTGCTTGTCTGGCTGCTTAAAATCACTCTATATGTCACAGTTTTCCTTGCCCAGATCTTAATCTAAATATCAGTGCATTTAACTAAACTCATCAGAAAACAAAAGTGATTTCAAAAGGTTTTGCCCAGAAACCATGTGCCATACAGACAGACAAAGCAAACGGGGAGAGACAACAGGACTGACCCCTACCCCTGATACCAGCTCATTACACAGCACAAACCTCAACGTTCTAATCGGATCCAGCAAGAAGTTGGCCAGAATTTGGAGATTATTTTTAAAAGGAGAGAATCTAGCCTCCTGCTCCTTAGCTGAGAAGGATCAGCTGCACTAGAAACCTCCCTCTCACCATTAAGAACTAGAAAAACAGGCAAAACACAAAACAGTTGCTTTTGGCCACTGGACAATGGACAGCACAGGATGGTCCCTGAGAGGGGGGAATGAAACGAGTGAGCCCTGCAGGTGCCCGGTTCTGCCTGGGGGCAGCTTCCAGGCCGCTGTGCCCTGAGGGTCCAGACTCCAGTAGTCCTGAGACAGAGACTTGAGCTTGGTGGCTGGAACCTGTGGGGGGAATATCAGTGAGGACGCAAGGATGGAGGTGCTGGGGGCAGGGATCGAGCTCTGAAGTTCTGCAGACGGACTCTTGAGCTTTGCTCAGCCCAGTCCAGGTGGGCAAAGTCTTTGTGGCTGGAAGCCAGAGTCAGACAACCCCTGGCTCTCGGCAGGGTCAGAGTCATCGCCTTGGCAGCCCAAATGGAGGGAGCTCCTTGCACCCAGGGCCAGCACTGCTCAGAGTCCTCAGTGTGGCGTCACCTTAGCAGTGGGGATCAATAAACGCTGAACTGAAGGAGAATCTGACCTGCCCAGCAATCTGAAGGGAAGTTGGAAGGGATCAAATGGATCTCAAGTAATTTACCACGTTCCAGAATCAAATCCTGCGGGGGGGGGGGTACAACAGTGCCCGGGACCCCAAAAGATAACATCAAAATGTGTCAGGCATTTGAAGATGTAAGAAAATATGACCCATAGCCAGGAGGAAAATAGATCAGTAGAAACAGAGGCCAGAGATGACGGAATTAGCAAACAGGAATACGTAATCGCCCAGGAATACGCTCCATGTAGGAGATAACAGAGAAACTTCTAGAGATGAAAAGTACAGTGTCTGAATTTTAAAACTGCACCGGGCAGTATTCCCCACTGGCAGACCCTGAAGACGGAAACACCGGGAACCTGAAGGGAGAAAACACGCAGCACAGACAGAGGCTACGACCCGAGTGTGGAGTCCCAGGAGGAGGCAGTGCTGGGGACATAGAAAGTACATGAAGAAACATTTGCTATATTTGATGGAAACCAAAACCCACATGTCCAAGAAAAGCTTGACAGAAACCACATGAAGCCACGTCACAGCCACACGGCCGAAAACCAATGACAAAAAGAAAATCTTAAAAGCAGCCAGAGGAAAACGACAAAATCCAGACGGAGGAACAGGGACAGCAGCCGGCCCATCGGAGGCTCAAAGGCCAGCTAGTAGGGTGGCGTCTCTAACACGCAGAAAGGAAAACACGACCGACCTACTTGCAAAGATGCACGTGAAATGAAGACTTTCTGGCAGAGAAAACTGAGAGAACTCATCACCAGCATATCTGCACAGCAAGAAATGTTAAAGGAGACTCCTTAGAAGAAAATCTGGGTGTGCCCCAAGGAGTGGAGCGCCCCAGAGATGGTAAATGCATGAGCAGATCTCATTTCTCCTTTTATCTTTAATCACTGTAAAGGTAATTTTGAAACAATCACAATAAATTTTGGACTGTATAATATATACAGAAATAAACTATATGACACCAATAGCTTGAAGCAGTGAGCACCAGCTTTTTCTGTGAAGGGCCAGGGGTTACTATTTCTGGCTTTCTGGCCACGTGGTCACAGCTATTCAACGCTGTCAGCTTAACACAAAGCAGCCAGCCACAGACAATACCTAACGACCGGGCACCAGTGTCCAAAGAAACGTCATGTTTAATATCAGTGGCAGGCGAGACTTGGTCTGTGGGCCACAGTTTACTGACCTCTGGGTGCAGGGAGTATGACATTGGCGGGTCCTTCCATTACATATGAAGTGGACGGAGGTGTCTGTGACCCTGAAGGAGAGAACAGGGACGTCCCGGGGGTGATGGCACGTGCGGATCCTGACTGCCTGGGGTCACACAGATCTACACAAGTTAGAATTCGTGGAAGTGTGCCTCGAACAAAAGTCAATTTTACTGTGTATTGATTTAACAGATAAATTCTGAAGCTGCGTGAAGACACTGAGTGCGGACGCAGGGAAGAGGAAGGGGTGGGCATCGCTCCCCCGGCTTCTCTGTAGAACAAAGACTATGTCAGGGACGAGAGGCCTGTCCTAAGGACAAAGGGAGAGATCCACCAAGAGGATCCACAGCTCTAAATGTACCATTAACATGAATCAGGATTCTCGAAGCAAAAGCTAACGGAACCACAGGAGAAGGACCACTGTCGGTAGAGAGGCCAGGACTCCCCGCCGGGCACCGCCAGCCAGCCTGGCCTGATGGGCTTCTACCCCACGTTCTTCTGGCATTCAGGCAGCACCCACCACGACGGGCCATCCTGCCACCGTAAAACAAGGCTCGGCAAATTCTAAAGGATTGTGTTCTCTAACCACAGCAAAATTAAACTAGAATCAACAGAAGGGTGTCTGGGAAATCCAGGTATTTTACTGAATGATGCTCAAGCAGAACCGTCTGGAGGCCTCCAGCCTGGCGGGGCCCTTTGGTGCCCACGGTGGGCCCTTCTCACCCTGCGGCCTCTTCCTGCTCCAAAGAGGGGGCTCGCCGGGGAGGGGCAGCGGGAAATCAGTGCCCAGGAGACAGGCTCAGGCTTACACTGCACTTGGCCCTGGGAACAGAGCTTAAAACCCCTGGTGACCGCTGTCTTTCTTACAGGAAGCCGCCTGGTGCCCGACCCCTGCCTCTCCGCCCCTTGCCAGAACGGGGGCACCTGCGTGGACGCAGATGAGGGCTACGTGTGCGAGTGCCCTGAGGGCTTCATGGGCCTCGACTGCAGGGACAGTGCGTGTGGCCAGGCTCCTGGGGCTGCGGTCAGGGCTGGGGCCCCTGTGGGTGTGCATGCAAACGGCAGACAGAGAATCTGTGAGAGTGGGGGACGGTGTACACAGCAGGAGCACCCCCACATTGAAGGCTCCTCCCTCTCTCCGTGGCAGGAACCCCTGACTGTGAGTGCCGAAATGGTGGCAGGTGCATCGGGGGCAACACCACACTCTGCCAGTGCCCCCCAGGCTTCTTTGGGCTCCTCTGCGAATTCGGTAGGTGCCCAGAGCTGGGGCAGGGGACAGCCTGGGGACACCACCCTCCGAGCCAGGGTTTGAAGGTGGCTCGGGCCTGGACCAGGATCCACAGGTGCAGACCCTGGAACAGTGTGTGCGTGGCCTCCACCCACCCCGGGGGGCTGGCACCAGAAGTGCCTGACCCCGTGTCCCCGTGGGGTCAGTGGGCCGCGCCAGCCCCGCCCTCGCCAAGGCCCCAGGCCCCAGGAGGCCCTGAGCAGGGCTCCTTCCTCGCGCAGAGGTCACGGCCACGCCCTGCAACATGAACGCGCAGTGTCCCGACGGCGGCTACTGCATGGAGTACGGCGGGAGCTACCTGTGCGTGTGCCACACGGACCACAACGCCAGCCACGGTGAGGGGGGCGGCACGGCACGCCCGGGGCTGGGAGGGAAGGAGCGGCTCCCCCGCCGGGCACCCGAGAACCTGCGGTGGGAGC